TCCCCTCTTGGGCCTGCACTCGGCGTGCGCTGGCGTTGTGGCCTGAGGCTCGTCACCACCTTGCCGGCGGTGTCCGCGTCCTTGAGGGTGAGGGAGGATGTTCTCTTCTCCTGCGGCGCCTGCCGCAGCCATCCCGGAGGGAGCTGCCCGTGAGGCTGGGAAGGGTCCGAGCGGCCACCTCCTCCCCGGGTGGAGGGCCAGGGACAAGGGCTCTGTGCACGGCGGAGGGCCTGCCCCGGCGGCCGCTGCCTCGCCCAGTGCTCCTGGGGCGGGCCCTGCCCGCTCGGCTCTGGAGCGGCTGCCTGGGCCCTGCAGGGAGGGAGCAGGAGCGCTGGCTCTGGGGCAGGCGGACACCCGAGCGTGCAGTGGGGGATCGGCCCCCCGATGGACTTCTCTCTGCTTCGGTCGCAGAAATGAAAATACGGGCCGCACAAAACCCTGTCCTGGGCGTTTCTCATGGTATTCCTGGAAGCTGGCTCCTCTCTGAGGTCCTTTACCAGGTGGGGAGCAGACAGATCAACAGCCTGCAAACGACAGGGATGCACGGCTGAGACCTGCGACCCCGCAGGTGAACCTCAAAGGCTTGCAGACTAAAATAAGCCACTGCACAAGCCTGGGGTGCCTGTGCACGAAACACCGGGAAGATGCAGAGCTAGAGGGATGAGACCGGGTCAGCAGTTACCGGACAGGGTGGCGGAGGTCGGGGGGGGGCGTGGCTAGCAGAGGCTGTCCCCCTCGGCCCTGCTGATGTCTCGGACCGGAGCTTTCTCTGCGGTGGTGACTGTCCTGTGTGTGAAATCCCCTAGTCTCCACCCCCTCGATGCCAGGAGCACTGTCCTCAGGTTGTGACAACAAAAATGTCCTCAGACACTGCCACCGGTCCCCTGGGGAGCAGGGGGTGACCCTGGGCTGGACGCACTGAGAGAAAAGGCAGAAGAAGGGGGGGTCCTTTCGGGGGTGCTGGGGCTGCGCTGTGCTCTGGTGGAAGAGGGGATTATACAAATCTGTACACATGTTAAAAAAATGACAGATCTGTGTGCACAAAGTTGACTTCACTGTGTGTTCATTTAACCAGTAACATTTTAAAAAGGCAAAATGCAAAAGAAGCAAAACACAGCAGAGAGAGGCAGGCCCCAGGCTCTGAAGAATAAACCAGCAGCTCCACTGCCCCCCACCCCCCGTCCCCCACTCCGGGCTGCTGCCTGCAGGGCATCGGCCAGAACCGTCCACCTGGTGAACCTCTCCACCCTCGCTTACCAGTGGGATGCCCCGTTAAACTTGAATTTCAGCTGAACCACAGGTAATTGCTTAATAAAAGTACATCTCACATATTGCAAACATTATTCTTTTATCTGAAATTCAAATTTAACTGGGTGTCCTGTATTTTTATTTGCGAAACCTAACAACCCTATTCTTGGAAAAATCTTCAGGTTTAAAAAAAAAAGTCTATTAACCCTTGGCTGTAATATAAATCTTTTTCAGCTTTGCTAAAGACACAGACCTTTGGTAAAATAGCATGCATATCTTTTTGTTTTGGGTTTTTGTTTTTTTTTTTTTTCAATTAATTCAGTCCCCTCAGTCTCTCTGCCTAAGACATTTGTCCTGGCTCCCTACTCAGTGTAACTTTGCCCTGGACATTTATTTTCAAATATTTGATTTATTTTTAAAGAGAGGGGAAGGGAGGGAGAAAAAGAGGGAGAGAAACATTGACATGAGAGAGAAACATTGGTTGCCTCTCACATGTGCCCCAATGGCGGGGACCGAACCCGCAACCCAGGCACGTGCCCTGACTGGGAACCGAACCGGCAACCTTTGGCTTTGCAAGATGACACCCAACCCACTGAGCCACACCGGTCAGGGCTGCCCTGGACATTTAAATCCAAACAATCCAAATGAACATTTGCACGTGCAAAGGAGAACCTCTATATGTAATATCGTAAAATGAAAAGGAGTTCCTTCCCCAGCCAGCCCACATGCCCTCTCCCCCAGGATAATCCTTCCCGACCCTTTTTGGGGGGATATTACAGTAAAAATGAACTTTATGCACGAACGAACCCACATATGTTCGTAGGGGGCTTTAAATGTCTTTCCTCCCACCTGTAAATCACACTGTATCATGTTTGGCCTCTCCCTCTGGGGAGAACCTGGGGGGCCCTTCCTTCTGTGGGCCCCCGAGAGCTGGGGCCTGCTGGTCCTCAGGGCGACCGACCCGCAGGGCGCAGGGCAGTGATGGCCGGACCCTGTGCCCGGGATACTTGCACCGAGATCCCTTCAGGCACCCCGGCAGCCGTGCCCCCGGACTGAGTTATCCCGAGTTAATACCACCCCGCACGAGTCTCAGGCTTTGCCGGGAGAGACCTGGCCGCAGTGACGCACCTGTGCGCGGCCCCGTGGCCCGGCTTACCTTGGGGAGGGTACAGGAAAGCCGTGGCTCTCCACCCGGGACGTTGTGCCCCCCAGGGGACACTTGGATACATTTCTGGGACCACCCAGAAATGCTGCTGCACACCCTACGACACCCCTGCGGCCCCCGAAGAGCCCGAACTCCCCATGCCCATCTCTGTGCCCAGCGCGCACCCTCACCTGCCTGGCCTGCACAGCCTGATCGGCGGCGGGGGTGGGTGCAGAGACCTGGAGACCCTCCTCGTTCTGCTCTGTCGCCCACTCCCCCGCCAAGGCCATGGGCCCCCGGCCCCGGCCATCCTGACGGCCGCCGCCGGCCCGCCCCCGCCCCCGGCCACCGCGGCAAGGGTAGGGTTGCTGCACCCAGAGCTGCGTCGCGTTCGCAGATGAAGCATTTTTATTTTGCCCTTAAAAGCCTTCCAGGGGGACCGCAGATCCTAGGGGCTCAGCTTTAACGGCTCTTTTTACAGAACCGCTCCAATTAGAGCCGGTGAACTCGGGGGAACCCCGCTCAAGAATGCAGGAGGGCGCGCGTGAGAGGGGTTAATTTAGGGGGAAACCGTGGTGGACGGGGAGTTTGGTCTTTGAAACGCTCCTTGTTAAAAAACCAAAGCGGACCCCTGGAGCTGGCCTGGTCCTTGGGAGGCCAGGTTCCCTGGCTTCCGCCCGTCCGGGGGCCTCCGGGTGAAGTTGGTTCCAGATGTGGACGGGGTCCAGGGCTCCTGCGGCACCGACTCCGCCGCCTCGGACCCCGGCCGCCCGGGGAGGGGGCGCCCCGTCTGCGGTGGCTGGGCAGCCGCACCTGGTTCAGGGGTGATGCGTCCTCGCGCAGGGTCCCCTGTCTCTCCGAGGACAGGCTTTCTTTGTCCTGTCTCTGGCTTCCCCTTTCTCCGGAACCTTACCTCCACCGGCGGAGACAGGATGTGAGCCCGGGAAGGCTGGTACCGGGCCAGAGCGGGGCCTGACCCCAAGTCGGTCTCCCCTCGCTACCGAGCCAAACCCAGCTGCAGTGCCCCGCCGCCACCTCCCACCCTCCCCTCCGGGCTTTTCTGTGCTCCCCCTCCCACCCCTGCCTCGGTTTCCCCTCCTCAGTAAAGGGCCCCACCCGTCTTCCAGGTGCCCAGGCCCCGAGCTCCGAAGTCAGGTATGGCACCTCCCTTTCTCACCTCTTACATCCGATTCCTCGGCTAGTTCCCTCCATTCTCCTCCCAAAACAGACCTGAGACTGGTCGTCTTCCAGGTGGGGGTGTTGGACTCCAGTGGTAGGACCCTCGGGTGACACCGAGGGAAAGGTACACGGGACCTCCCTGAAGGCTTTTTTTTTTTTTTACAAACTTATGTGAGTCAGTAATTCTTTCAAAACGAGACATTAAAAATGCGTTCTGAAGGCAGCATTACAAACAAATTAAGGAAGAGCTGACCCTCTCTGGCTCCCCATCTGTCCCCGTCCAGGACACCTGGCCCTGGTCGCCCTCCGGCTTCGGTTCCTGACCCCACAGCGCAGCTTCCGGGGCAGCCCGAGGTGGCCTTTGGCCGACAGCTCCGGCTGCCCACTCCTCAGGCCCCGCACGCCCGTGGTTGCCACTGCACGCGGATGTATGAGTACCCTGCGGCCGCAGTAACAAAACACCACACACTGGGGGGCTTAGAACCACAGAGCTCCAGTCCCTCACCGGCTGGAAGCTGGAAGTCCAAAGTCAAGATGTCCCAGGACTGTGCTCCTTCCAAGCCTCCGGAGAAGCATCCTGCCTTGCCTCTCTCAGCTCCTGGTGGCTCCTGGAGTTCTTTAGGGCTCCTTGGCCGTCTTTCGTGTGTGTGTGTGTGTGTGTGTGTGTGTGTGTCTGTCTTCACATGGCCTTCTTCTAAGCACACCAGTCACTGGATTAGGGCCCTTCCTAATCCAACGTGAACTAATCCTGACTGACTTCATCTGCATAGACACCCTTCCAAATAAGGTCACATCCTGAGGCTCTGGAGGGGACACTGTTCAACCCAGTCCATGACCTCCCCCTTGTACCCTCCCATCCCCAGTCTCTGCTCCAACCAGGGGCCAGTCTTGTTGAAGACACACACCCCCAGGGCTCCCAGCTCTGAGCCTTCGCCTTCCCAACGTGCCCTGCCTGGAGTGGCCTCTCCCCAAACAGCCACGTGACTCCCCTCCTCTGTTACCCAGTTCTCGGCTCAAGGGGCCCCTCCGTGCAGAGGGTGGGAGACGGGAGGGCTGCCTGGGGCCATTCCCGCCCTCCCTGGCCCGGCCCAGGACGGCCCCACCTCTAGATGTTAGGTGGGTCACGTGACTTGCTTTGCCCACGGAGACGTGAGTGGGACTTCCTCCAGCCCGAGACCCTCTGCAGACCCCAGCCCAGCTCCTCGCCCTCCCCTCCTTCCAGTTTTCACCATGGGACCCTGGCGGCTTCCTGCCAGCCTGCCCCCGGGCCAGGGAGTTTTCTCTGTGGGGTCCCCCACTGTGTCCTGAGCTCCTAGGACAACTGGGCATAGGGCCGGGGCTGGGAGGATGGACAATGAAGTGTGAGGCGCACACCAGACCCCCACTAACCACGTCTTCTACGCATCTGGCTGCTTCCGGTCTAGGGCAGAGCATCAACCCCAAGTTGGCGGGCCTGATCGGGCGGCACGGCCCCCAGAACAAGCAGCCCTTCATGGTGGCCTTCTTCAAGGCCACCGAGGTCCACCTCCGCAGCACCCGCTCCACAGGGGGCAGGCAGCGCGGCCAGAACCGCTCCAAGACGCCCAAGAACCAGGAGGCCCTGCGGATGGCCAACGTGGCAGGTACGCCCGGGGCGGGAGGGTCCAACCACCGACTCCAGGGACCCGGGGTGGGGGGAGTCCCAGCGAGGAGTGACTCAAAGTCACGTGCTCCGCAGATGGCCCTGGAACAGTGCAGCAGGAGGCAAAACCCACAGGCCCCCGCTGCTGCCCAGAGCGCACCCTCTGAACTGTGCACACGTCATATATTCATTCAGAAACGCAAGCACCAAAACGTGAGCGTGACAGGACGCCCACCGCGCTTCCAAACAGACGCGCCGTGGCTGTAGATGAGTGGCAGGATCGGGCGAAGGGGTGGGAAGACACCACACCGACTCCCCAGGGAGGCAGGCTGCTGCCGCCGGCCCCGTGGGGAGGAGGAAAAGTGGGGGCCTGTGCTGTGCCTTTAGCTTTAGTTCTTCAAGGGAAAGATATTGGAGACTCCTGGCAAATTGGGACACTTGTTAAATACGGGTTTTTTTCCAGCCGGAGTCCCGGTCTCCCAGCGCTGGGAGGTCATCGCGGAGCTTACCCACCTCTCCTGGCTCCCAGGCCTGGGGTTGGTCCTGGGGAGCACAGAAAAGGGCGTGTTTAGATTATGCAAAGCAGCCGCACCCCCGAACCTGCCGTAAGCTGTCCGCAGCTTCTCTCACCTCACCTAGCTGATTTTGAACTTCCTGCCCATTTTCCTCTTCGAGGGAGAGGGACGTTGGTCGCTGTGGGTGGGGAAGTTGCCGGGAGTGGGGGCTCCCTGGCCCCCAGGGGCCCGGGTGGGTGGAGCTCGGTGGGCGTGGGGGCTCAGGGTCGGTGCGCAGGGCTCTGCAGGGGTTCTTTTCTGGCAGGTGCGTCATCTCTTTCTCAAAGGGGTCTGTGGACCCCCCCCCACTGAAAACCAACCGAACCCCTGACTCTGTTGGGCACCTTCTCCATGCAAGGCTCTTGGGGGCTGGGCTTGAACAGTGAAAGCCAGCCGTGGTGCCCTGGGGACGGTGGACCACGGGAGGTGGCCGTCATTGATGGCCACACTGCTAACAGGCCTGAGAGTTGGGGGGTGGTGACTAGGAACTCACAGTTTGGGGGCTCAGAGAAGACGTCCCAGCTCAGAGCTTGGGGGCAGGCGGGTGCCCAGGAGGCCAAGCTGGGTCGGCTCCCCGGCCCACAGCAGGGCTCGAGACAGCAGGCTCTGCGGGTGCGGACACCTGTGGTGGGAGGTCGCGTGGCACCTGTGAGGGGCGGGGAGAAGGACGCGGCAGCTGCTGGGACAAGGGGCGGGTCAGGATGTTGAGAGGAGCACATGGGAGTGTCTTCTTGAGAGCCACATCTTGAGCTTGAACTTCATCCAAAGCAAATTTGGAAGCCTTTGCCAAGTTTCAAGCTATGGTGTGGGGTGTGGGTGGTCAGACCATCCTTCGCTCCCTCCGCTGCTCCGAGAACAGTGGGGAGCAGGGCCGGGAGGGTCTTTCCCTGTCGGCCAGGCAGGAAGTGCTGGTGAATCCCACCCCAGCAAGGACTCCGGGTCCTGGCGTTCCGTCAGGGCTTCCTCAAAGACTTAGGAGTCGAGACCCAACTTCCCCACCACATCCTCACCAACCCCCCCAGCAAGTCTCCATTTACATCACCCCCAGGACGGGTCTCTCGCTACCTCACAGGGCAGCTGCTCTTCCTTGCCTGGCATCTGCCTCCTTCCTGTGGATTTCTGCTTCCTGGCCCTGTTTGACCTTCACCGAGACCCTGCCTGCAAGTTTGATAGGAAAAGGAATATGGAGGCCTGCCCCGCGCGCCCCCCCCCCCCGCCACGGGCTCAGTAAGGCAGACCTTGTGTGTGTTTGCACACGCGTGCACGCACATGCCCGTGTGAAGGGCTTTGCCTGCGTGAAAAGCTGGGAGTCCCGCTGCAGGCCACACACGTCGGCCCCGCCCTGGCGGCAGCCAGCCCGTTGTGCGCTGGAGGGAGACAAGCTGCAGCGGTGCGCTGCCCCCCCCACTCTGCTCCCGGAAGCCCTTTCCCAAGGGCTCCCCCACCCCCAGGCTGTCCAGGGCTCCGCACAGGCTGTGGTTTGGGGCCGAGACACTGGGTCTGCTGGTCCCCCTCCCACACGTTTGGCCCCAGCTCCCTGATAATTGGCCCTTTTCACCAGGGGACCCTCGGGGCGCGGGCTGGGCCCCAGCACCAGTTACAGCTTGTTGGCTGCTCAGGCCGGGGCTCCGGGGGTGGAGGAAGCAGCAGCCTTGCCTCCCCTGGCCCCCTGGCCCCGGCCTTTGGGGCGGGAGGGGCAGGACTGGAGGGGCAGCGGCGCTGGGGCCTACTTTTCAAGCGTCCCTTTCCTTCCCTTTCTGCACCAGCGGCACCAGCTGCTTGGTGCTGGCACCATGTAAAGAAGGAACCAGAGCTGTATGTGGGCTCAGTGAGCAGAACGTGCCACAATTGATTAGCAATGTCTGCTGGGAGCAGAGGCGGGGCAGGCAGCGGCCTGAACGCTGCCCTCCAGCCCTGTCTTAAAGCAAAGCAGTGATATTGGGCTCATGTGGAAACCCAAGGCCCAAAGGCCCAGGGTAGCTGAGTGTGTGTGTGAGTTGTGTGTGTATGTGGGGGGGGGGGTGTCCGAGAGACAGAGATAGAAATTTCGACGTGTTTACAAACGCTCAGTCCCCAACCCCAACGTCTGCAAACCGCACACACTTCTGGAAAACCCCAGGGCATCATTTTCACGCCTCGGAGACCTCAGCTCTGGGTGTTTCTGGAAGGTCGGTAGGATCTGACTTGGTGCCCTTGGTTCACTCTCGGTGGCAGTGGTGATGGGGGCTTTGTCCCAGGCCCTGTTGGTCCCCTCTGTGGGCCTTGTGGTGGGGTGTGGGGGGGGGGCTGGCCTCCCACGGCGAGGCCGGTCCAAACCCCTCTGGGCTGGCCTCTCTGGGCAGCCGGCCTCACGGAACCCGGGCAGCTGTCGGCGTCTGAACCACATTTGTGTATAAAAGAAACCAGTGTCCTCAGGAGGGTTGGTCCGGAGGGCTCTGTGAGCGGAGGCCCTGCGGGCGGGAGGGGGGCATCGGCACCTCCCTGGAGGGACTGTTGTGGGGGCGGAGGGGGGGGTGGAAATGCATTTGAAGGCCTTTATGGCTGAAAAGCTGCCCCGCAGCTATGGGGGTTCGGCTGCGAGGAGGCTAACGCCCGTGTGGTTCGTGCCCCTCTCCGCGCCTGCCCCTCCGAGCAGAGAACAGCAGCGCCGACCAGCGGCAGGCCTGCAAGAAGCACGAGCTGTACGTCAGTTTCCGCGACCTGGGCTGGCAGGTCAGTGGCTCCCCCCGCCCGACCCCCCACCACCCTAGCCCCCCCGAAAGGCTGTGGGCTGCACCCGGATGTGCAGGGAGTCCCATTTCCCCTCCATCCAGGTCAGTTAGGACTCTGGTGTCCAGGGTCCTAACCAGGGTGGGGGGATCTAGGGTACGGATCCGTGGCCCCCACAGCCCCACGCGCTGCCCTCCCCCTCCCCCCGCAGGACTGGATCATCGCGCCCGAGGGCTACGCCGCCTACTACTGCGAGGGGGAGTGCGCCTTCCCCCTGAACTCCTACATGAACGCCACCAACCACGCCATCGTGCAGACCCTGGTGAGTGCGGCCGCTGGGGGCCCTGGGGGCCGCCACGCCCTTCCTCAACTCCTTCCGGCTGGGCCCTTACTGCGTTAAAGAAGGGTTGACAGTTATCTTTTCTGACTGTTGACACAAAGATGCGTTTGATTTTTGACCCCAAGGTCCCTAGAGTTTATCTATTTCTTTTATTTTTAAAAGAAATTAGCACAGCTTGGTGGGCAGCTGTCACTGTGCCTGCTGGAGCAGTGGCCCCGGGCCTGCCTGTCTGGGGGCCGCCGTGCTGGGCTGCCAGTCTGTCCGCTCCGTGTCAGGAGGCCCGTCCCTGCCCCATGGTGCCTGGTCGTCCCCCAGGTGGGGGGCTTGAGGGCTTGTCCCCCCACCCCCACCCCGCCACGGCTCCTGTGTCCACCTCCTGGCCTGGCACATCGCAGTTCAGTCCTGCAGGGGTGTTCACTGCTTGTGGAGGGTCTCCTGTCTGTGGGGATGGCCTGGGCAGCAGGGGACAGTGCAGCAACGACAGCATGGACCGATGTGGTCCCTGCCTCTGGGCCTCGTTTTCCGAGGGGGGAAACGATCGGTGAACAGGTGAGGAAACCAGAGAGGGAGGGAGGGCCGGAAGGTGCCAGGAGGGTACCAGGATTTTAAAGAGAAGGGCCAGGTAGCCCCAGGCTGGCTGCTCCAGGTGGGGCCTCATGGGGTCATGGGAGGGGTCAGTGTGGCGATGAGATCACAGCTCTTTGCAGGGCGCCCAGCACTGAGGACACACACCAGGGGCGACTCTTCCTGCCCCACCGGCCACAACGAGCCGACATCTGGGGTTTGCTTCAAAATTATTCGGGGTGGAAAGGCTGGGGGGAGGTTTTGACGTTAGGCTGTGAAACTGTTCACGGCAAAACGTCCAGAAGGCGTGCGGGTCTCAGTCGGAGGCCCCAGGCCGAGGCCGGTGAGCTGAGCGCTCTCACTGGGCGCAGGTGGTGTGTTTTGGAAACCCAGACCTTTCCCCTGGAAACCAAACAGCCACACCCCCCGGCCTGTCTGGATTAGTCAGCCTGTCTGATCGCACGGGCTTTGGTTGCTGCAGTCAGTCTGGGTCGGTCTGTGGCTGAAGAAGAGAGACCTTTAGTTTGCCCCAGTCCTTACTCTTCCCTGTCGTCTCACTCCTGGCTTCATTCACTCCGCAGTGACGCCCCTGTGGCCCCTGGCCCTGGTCCTCCGTGAGGCTCGCAGAGCCCCGGGGTGAGACAGAGCAGCAAAGCCGAGCAGCTGGCCGGCTCCTTTCTCCATTCCTGCCTCGGCACCTGCCCCTTCCTCGCGGGCGTCTCCCCGGTGTTCGCCCACCTGCCTTTCCTCCTATTGCTGTGGTTCAGGAGGCAGAGCAGCCTAGTGGGGTCTAGACCGTCGGCACCCAACTCAGTGGCCAGTTCACACATGGCTCCCAAGGCTTGGCCTGTGTAATATTTAAATGAATCTCACCTGTTTCTTCCCCACGTTTTTAACTGTGGCTGCGAGCACTCTGAAAATTACCTGTGGGACTTGCATTACGTTGTCCTTGAACAGGAGCAGCAACCCCTTTCTGAAAAGGGCCAGAGAGTAAATATTTTGACTTTGAGAGTCACAAGTTGCCGCTGCTCCGCTGTGCCCTGGAACCCAGATGCACCCGTGAGAAGGGGCGTGGCCGCGTGCCGATAAAGCTTTATTCACAAAACCAGGGAGCGGGGCAGGGCTGGGCCCCCAGGCTGACCCTGATCCAGCCCAGTGGCTCCCCACGGGAGGGCAGTTTTGTCCCTTAGGGATATTTGACCTCTAGCCGCCCTTTCGGACGTCATGAGTGGGGCTGGGGTGGCATGCTTCGGACTCCGGGGCCCAGGGTGCTGTTGACACCCTTCAGTGTCCAGGGCAGTGCCACCCCTCCCCCACCCCGAGACAGCTCCGGCTCTGCGCACGCTCAGTGAGTGTCGCCGAGGTCCTTCGCCCAAGCAGCAGGACCTGCCCCCTGTAGACGTAAGGAAGCCAGGGAGGCGCGAGGAGGGGCCGCGTCTCGCCGCCGCCGACACCCCGGTGTGTCTTCCAGGTCCACTTCATCAACCCCGACACGGTGCCCAAGCCCTGCTGCGCCCCGACCCAGCTCAACGCCATCTCGGTGCTCTACTTCGACGACAGCTCCAACGTCATCCTGAAGAAATACCGAAACATGGTCGTGCGGGCCTGCGGCTGCCACTAGCCCCCACCGGAAGTGAGACCCCGTGGGGCCGCGTTTTCCTGGGCCCCGCATCTCACCGCCCCACGGCCCCGCCGCCCACCGCGGCGAGGAGCCAGCAGACCGGCCGCCCTATGCCGCACCCTCCCGTCGCCTGCGCCGAGTTGGACGGTGCGGGAGCATCAGGGACTCGGGGCCGCAAGTGACTTTTGATCCGTGTTTCCTCGTCACCCCATGGACTAGAGCCTTCCAGCTGCGGCAGGCCAAACCTAACAGGAAGGAAAATGCAGGAAGAGAAACTGCCCGCCAGGGTCGCGGGCGGAGTCGTCTCGGCCGGGAGCCGCCCCGCCCCCCGGGTGACTGAGGGCGCCCATTGGCCAGGCCGCCCCGCAGCGGCGGAAGGGGGCGTGGCGAGGGGTGGGCACGCGGGCGTCGGTGCCGAAGGAAGAGTGACGCGGAAGCTCCTGTAATAAATGTCCCAATAAAACGAATGAATGAAAATGGTTAGGATGTTACAGATATATTTTCCTAAACAATTGATTGCCATTTCTTGGTTTGCTCTGATTTCGTAAACAGAAGCCGCGGCCGGCGGAGGGCGGGGGAGAGGCCCCCTCTTCATCCCACTTGGGTTTTTGTCTGAGGTTTCCAGAGACCCGGGGCGTACGTGGACTCGCCCAGACCCAAGACGGGGCTGGGGAGGGAAAGGGCAAATTTCTGCTCAGAGGAAGGGGCGTGTTGACCTTGAAGGAAACCCGTTTGGTCATCCAGCGGGGCATGGGGTGGCAGAAACTAAAAAATAGACACTGAAGCCCCAGCAGATGTTTGCAAGCGGTTCTCCCGCACCCCTCCACGCCAGGACGCCAGTGTGAAGGGCAGCGTTCGGCCAGAACCTTCAACTTGACCCTGACCACTGACTGGCCCACGTGGCACTGTTTAAAGAAGCACCAAGGAAACCTAGCTCTCGCTGGGGCTGCCCTCTGTGCCCTAAGGAGGCTCATCTGTGGTTCATTACTGGCCGTGTTCTGAAGTCTGGGTTCGGACTGGGCCTCCGAGGACCCCTCTTTCTATGGGAGGACCCCTACTGTGGGTTCTGCACGCAGTGGGCTCCTTGAAGCCTCGTGGGAGGGATGCTAGGTGTCGGGTGTGCTGGGTGCGAATCTCAACGGAAGGACCTAGAAGCTGTTTGAGAGTGATGTCCTAATCTAGCATCCTGATTTAGAGGTGCTGTTTCTGGCGTGGCTCCTGGCAAGGGCCTTCCTCCCCTTGGCCAGGGGGCCCCCTAAATTGTGCACATCCCACTCTGCCCCCAGCCCCAGCGCAGGGCTGGCAGCACAGGGGGCCGGCCGCCTGCGAACAAAGGCCGGGGTTCCCCAGCAGGTCCCTGGAGCCTGCCGTAGTGGGAACCGTTGTCCCTTCATGACTCAGTGGGTCGCTGGAAACTCTGGGGAGACGTTGTTTGTTACTCCCTTTTGTTTTTTCTTCTCCAGTAGCGTGGGCTGCCACCTCCCCCCTGCCTGGCTCACAGGGCAGAGTTGCGGTTTGGGTTACACTTTGCTTTGTCTGTTGGCAGATCTGAGGATTTTCCTGTGATTCCGTGTGGGTGCGATCCCCTCTTGGTGCAAGTTTTCCCCCCCGTTAGGCCAAACAGCCTCTGGTTAGCATCGTTTGTACATTGAAATGTGTAAATAGTTGTTATAAAGCAAAGAAGTTATTTATGTCCATCAGAAGCTCCTTCTAGACCCTCCACCAGTCGCCTGTTTGGGACGATGCTTTCGCTTCCCCCCAACCTGCTTATGTTCTTATTTAAGACTATTTATTAACGATCGGACCGGTGTACCTCCAGCTGTTGCACAGAGCGGTCCTCGGCGAGAATTCTGTATAAATAGACGAAATAAAAAGGGTTTTGACTTTGCAATAAAAGGAGGCATTTGGTTCTGCTTCTTGGGCCTGTGTATGTCTCTGTGTGTTGTTTTTCTCTCTCAACTCCGGACACTGGCGTTCCCTCGGGCTTCTGAGAACCCTCTGCCTGGCCCCCACGGTTCACACGCTGTTTACCCTCCGGGCCCCGGGGCGACGGGCACGCGTGAGTATGCGGTGCAGCTGTGTGGGGCTCGGGGCAGGAGCGATGGGGCCCAACAACCAACGTGGACTCGGTAGGCTCGACTACAAAGGTCCTTGCCTGGGTTACCCAGAGTGCAGCTGTCAGCAGCTGTTTCGGAGAGGCGGGGGGTAAATTAGCTCTGTTTACTGCGAACATAGTTGAAAGGTTTAGTCATCCCAATAAAACAGAGGCACAAGAAGGAAAGAAAAAAAGGTGGGAGGGGAGGGTACACCCAAAACTTTAAAGCAACACAGGCCCCAGAGCCGGCACCATCCACTGCGGTGGGTTGGGGGCTGCGTGTTCCAGGCCCCAGCCGAGGACGACCCTGACGGCACGCACAGAGCGGCCACACGGCGTGGGACCGCCTCCGGGCTCCTTCTCGCTGCGAAGTGTGCACTAAGGTCACCTGATGAGTGTTAGGATGCCGGCCATTGCTTGGCCAGGCCGCTCTCTCTTCCCTGGTGCCTCAAACACTCGGCGGCTCTTAACAAGTCCCAGCGCCTGGGATTTCCAAACCCGCCTGTCATCGTCCTGACACACAATTTGCTTTTGTCCTGTTTCCAGGCTCAGGCCCAGAGTGCACACCAGAGGGCCAGATGCGGCCCTGCCTGGTGTTTACACATCTTTTCTAAAAAGCGAGTTCATTGCCAACGTGCTTTAGAAAATAAGAAGATTGGGGTAAGGGAAAAAAATCCCAAATTCTGGCTTCTCTCGAGACATGGGCACATCTGGCCACGCTGGGTCCCCCCTCCCTGCATGGAAGCTCTGGGCTGGAGCCAGAGAACAGTTCTTGCCGCAGTCTCCACTACTCCCTATTGCCTCTCACAAGGGTGCAAATGTCCGTTGCTATGTCAAAAAGTGTCGATACCTATTTATGTGTCCCTCCTAAGAGGAGGAGAGTGAAAGCCAGACCGAGAGGCCCACGCACGCAGGGAGAAGGGCCGACAACAAGCCCGGCCCGTTCGCCCCGCTCCCCCTCCCCCTTTAACACCCAGCCAGGCTCCCGTGGGCTGGTGCGACTGTGGCTGCAGCACCACAGGCAGGCCGCATCTTCTGCCCACCACCCCTCCCCCTGCTGCGGTCCCTCCCTCTTGCTCATCGCCACCGCAGCACCTTTTTCATTGCCGCCTCTCTCGCACGGCGGCTCCCAGAGAACCTGCATCAGGAATCACTGCTCCCATTACGCGGCCCGACGTCACCGCTGGCCATTTGGGGCACCTACGCCCTGCAAACAGTGTTTGGGCACAGAAGACGCACTGTGACCAAGGGACAGGGGAGGCCCCGCTGTCTCGGATGCATGTCCAACCCCAGGCAGAGTGGGCGAGCCCACAAGCCGTCCCGGGGTGGGTGGGGCACCCTTTGGAGCTGGGGAGGGGGTGAGCCCAGGGCCCGGAGGAGATGGGAGGCACCCCAGTCAGGGCCGGCTGAGGAGGGTGTTGGGAAGGAGCAAGGCAGAGTGTCCAGAAGTCCCCTGTGACACAGCCGGGCCCGCAGGGCTGAGGACAGCTGCCCAGGGACAGCGTCAAGGCCAGCAGGGGACTGTCACCGGCAAAGGGTGGTCAGTTAGAGGGGTTCTCAGACGTGACACTCAGACATTTGGGGCCAGGTAAATCTTCGTCACGAGGGGTGCCCTATGCGTTGTAGGGTGTACGGCCTTCCTGGCCTCTCCCCACTAAATGCCAGTAGCGCCCCTCCATGGGGACAGCCACTCACATCCCCACACATCGCCACCTGTCCCCTGGGGGGCACCATTGCTCTCGGTTGAGAACCGGCAATTGAGACCGAACTCAAGCCAACGAGGCCGCTCTCCTCTCCCGCGCACTCGGCCCCAGCGGCACCCCTCCGCGCTGCTCCCCCCGGGCACCCTCCTGCCGCGGGGCCTTTGCACGTGCTCTGTCCCTGGCCAGGAGCGCTGTGCCCCCAGACAGCCGCGGGCCGTTCCCTCAGCGGCAGCGTCGGGCCCTGTGGGCGTGTCCTCTGGCCCCCCATGCTAACGGCGTCCCTGCCGGGCCGTCCCTGCCCTCGCCCCCTTGTCTTCTCTCCACCGTGCTTACTGCCACCCCCAGGACGGAACGTTTCACCGGCTGATGGGGCTGGTGCCCGTCCTGCCCTGCAGGGAACGAGAGCTCTCGCCCGTGTCGGTCCCCATGCTGCCCCCAGGGCCCGCCCACAGCAGCGCTCCCTCGACAAGCCTGACGGGAAGGGTCCTTCCTGTTACTAACCGGGCCCCAAATCGGGAGACCTGGGCCCTGCCTACGGGGGAGCGGGGGGAACGTCCTCAGAGGGGCCTGCGCCCCCCCCCGTCCCACATGGCAGGCAGAGTCGGGGGCTCTCTGCTGGCTCCCCCGGGCAGTGCCTCCGGACCCCCAGGGGCACGGGTTCCCAGGTGGAGAACGCGGCGGGTGCTGACTGCTGACTGGCTGCTGGCTCCCGCCCCGGACCCCCGGACCCCTGGACCCCAGGACCGGCGGCTGCCTCCTCCATGTTTTGGGTCCCGATCCAGGCAGGGAGGCGGCTGGGGGGCACTGGGGGCCACGGGGCTGACATCAGACCCGTGTTCTCCCCGACGCGCGTCCTTACTTAATGCCACAGGGAAAGTTCATGTGTTGGGGGGGAGTGAGGGACAAGTGTGGAATGCCGAGGTTGGCCACCCTGTGCTCAGAGGCCCCTGCCCTTGTACTTGACCCCCAGGGGTGCATATCCAACTTAATTAAGTTACAGGACGCCGCATAAAAATGGTCGCAGTCGCCGGCGCCGGCAGAGAAATCGCACATTTGAGCTCTGACCCTCTGTCAGTGAACCCAGACCCAGGATCTCCCTATTTTAGGAGGTTTCAGCAGGCGTTGCCCCGCCCCCTCGCTGAGGGCAGCGTTGGACAGCAAGGGCCCTGACCCTCCCCCGACCCCACACCTCGGCCCGTGGGTGGGGGGTGAGCTGGGGGTGGGGACAGTCGCTCTGAGCTCACCCCTCCATTGGAGAGAACGGCCTTCAGGCTCCACGGGGCCTCTCCGGCCCTCCAAGCCAGCGCTGGCCTTTGTCCGGCCCTCGCTGAGTGTGCTGACGAAGGAAAGGGTGACAGGTGACCCGAGCCCCCATCCGCGCCGGTCCTCCTGAGTGGTCCCTAAAATAACACCATTAGTGGGGCCCAGCGGAGACTCCTTATCTTCGGAGCCCGCCCGCTGATAACACTGAGCAGGTGCCACCGACGCCCAGAAGAGACAGGGGGCCGGGCGCTCGCACGGCGCAAGGGTCCCGGTGACGTGCCGGGGGTATAAATAGTCCGAGGACTGCGAGCCTGAGTGTGCAGGTGTGACGTGAGTGGCGGGGCCGGGCACACCCGGTCCTGCACACCCGCCGACACCCCCGTGTGCGCAGGGTCCTGCCACTGCTCCTGCCGTGTGTCCTCCGCCAGGGCGGGGCTTGTGAGCAGCGGGGGGGCGGGGCGGGGGGGGGGACGCCGGTGGACTCGCCTCAACATTCCTCTCCAGGCTCGGCCCAGCTGCGCCCCCTCGAGCCTGCCGTCAGCTGTGGGGTGCGCACCGTCCGTCACTGTCAGGGCCCCAGCCCTGGTCTGGCTCGTCATCCGGACGCTCCCCTGAGGAGCACCGATGGCTCCTGAGCCCAGATTCAGGAATAAGGACACACACACACACACACACACACACACACACACACGGGAAAAGGTAAAGTGCTCCCCAGGAATCCAACCTCGTCCCCTCTCCGGATGTAAACACCACACACACGACCGGGCCTCTCAGCGCTCACAGACTTCAGCTCGGAGGGCCCCCAGCCCCATTCCAGAAACGGGGCGCAGAGCAGGGAGCAAGACCGACAGGCTCTCCCGCGCCCCCGGCAAGAGACTAGACACAGCCACCCAAAGGAACCCGGCGAGCACGCGACACCCATCGAGGGGAGACAGATGGCGGGTGACAGAGACAAGCGATGAGTCCCCGAAGGGGTGGCGGTGCCCCTGACTGCCTCAGGACGGGCTTCCAGGGGCAGCTCCTCTGGTCAAGACTGTGTGACCATTTACTCTTTTAAAAAGATTTTATTTATTTATTTTGAGAGAGAGAGGAATGGAGGGAGGAAGAGAGGGAGAGAAACATCAATGTGTGGTTGCCTTTCATGCGCCCCCACCTGGGGACCTGGTCCACAACCCAGGCCTGTGCCCTAACCGGAATCGAACCGGCGACCCTTTGGTTCTCAGGCCGGCACTCTATCCACTGAGCCACACCAGCCAGGGCTACTTTTTGTTTTCCACCGAGCAACAATACCCGTGCAGAACAGGCACAGATGTGTAAGAGTGAACACTCACAGAGTAAATCTGGAATGCCGGACTCTGTACCTGGAACAAATGGAGAAGCAGCATCGCAGTCCCCGGGGGTCCCCTGTGCCCCCTCCCAGCTGCCACCCCGGCCCGGGGTAGCCAGTGCCCTGCACTCCCACCCCGTGGGTTGTTTCCTGTTTCAGAAAAGCTGCGCCACCGAGCGGGGGGTACGTGCTCATCTGGCCTCTGGGCGTCTGGCCTCTTCCCCAGGCCACGTGGGCGAGATTCCGCCGTCCTGTTGGGCTCGGTGGCACCCCGCTCGTTCTGGTTGCCGGGTCGCGTTCTGCTCCGTAGATGCCGCCCACAGGCTGACCTGCAGCGAGCGCTCCGTCGACGGGCGCTGGGCAGTTCCCGGGTCCTGCCTCATGAGCCCGTGCCGCTGCCCGCACCCTCGCGCGTGTCTCGGTGAGCACACGGAGGCGCCTTCGTGGGGTCCCCTCCTGGGAGCGGACAGCGTGGCCCCATCACGGGGTGTGTGAGCTGTCCCCGCCAGTGGACGCTGCCGAACGGAG